CCGATCCACTAGTTCGACGTCAAAAATGCTTTTTTGCAGGGCTATCTCACAGATACTGTCTACACCGCTCAGCCTTCGGGATTCCAGGACCCAGCACGACCGAATTATGTATGCAGATTAAATAAGGCACTTTATGGCCTCAAACAGGCACCCCGGTCTTGGTACCAGCGATTCACCGGCTTTGTCCTCTCTCTTGGATGCAGTGGGTGCAAGAGCGACACCTCCTTATTTGTCTACAGTCGCGGTCAGGACATGGCTCTACTTCTACTTTATGTTGATGATATTGTACTCATGACCTCCTCCCCTGCTCTTCTTCAGCAGCTTACAGATTGACTGAAAGAAGAGTTTGCCATGACAGACATGGGTGACCTTCACTTCTTTCTTGGGATCAATGTCCAGCGGACGGCTCACGGATTGTTCCTCACTCAAACTCAGTTCATCTACGACATCCTTGAACATGCCGGCATGACATCGTGCAAACCAGTCTCTACTCCCGTGGACACCCGTGGGAAGTTGTCGGCCACCGTCAGTCCACCCGCTCCAGATCCCTCTCTATACCGCTCCATTGTGGGTGCATTGCAGTATCTCACTTTTACCCGTCCAGACATCACCTATGCTGTCCAGCAGCTTTGTCTTTTTCTCCATAATCCACGTGTGCCACATGTCACCGCCATGAAGCGCGTTCTGCGCTACCTACACGGCACACCCACTCATGGCATCACCATCTCACTCTCTCAGACGGATCACATGCGAGCATATTCAGACGCTGATTGGGCTGGTTGTCCAGACACACGCCGCTCCACATCCGGCTACTGCATTTTTCTGGGTGACAATCTCATTTCCTGGTCCTCCAAGCGCCAACTTACCACTTCTCGATCCAGTGCCGAAGCAGAATATCGAGCTGTTGCCAATGCAGTCGCTGAGGTCAGTTGGGTACGCAATCTACTTCTTGAGCTCCGGCAACCTCTGAATCGCTCCACACTAGTCTTCTGTGATAACATCAGTGTTGTCTACCTTTCTGCCAACCCTGTCAAGCATCAGCGCACGAAGCACATTGAGGTTGATATTCACTTCGTCCGCGACAGAGTAGCCCTGGGTCAGATACGGGTTCTTCATGTCCCTTCTTCTCTACAGTACGCTGACATATTCACCAAGGGACTACCCTCCATGATTTTCTTAGAGTTTCGCGCTTGTTTGGGCGTACGGCAATCTTCATCAACGCCGTTGGGAGCATGTTAAATATACTAAATATATATTTACTATATTTAATATTTATGTATATTGGTAGCTACCATATTTGTATAGGGTGTATTAATCATTGTTTCCTATTATCATTAGGAAACCTTTGTATATATAGAACATGTAATCTCCCTAATCAATCGTGAGAAAATATTCATTCTTCATTCGGAAACTGATTCAGCCACAACCATCCGCCTAGAACGCAGTTTCGACTGAAGACGTGGGACATTCTGGCACATCCTGAATAAGCTGTAGAGCTTAGAAGGATGGATCTGATTCTTTCGGCGACCACAAACGTCAGCTTAGAGTACAGGTCCGACTGGCAACGAGGGAGATTCCGGCGGCATACAAAATTGGGTGTGAATTTGGTGCAAGCTAAGGGAGACTCAAGATGATGGACGCAAAATGTGATGCGAAATTAGAAGACGGATGGGATGCAAAATTAGATGAGAGATATCAACCATTGACATAAATGCCTCCCACTCTAGCAATGGATGCGAAATTCTGAGGAAGACTCTAGACTACTGTGATGCCGTCTGGCCATTCTGGAACGAGATGGAGAAGATCGAAGGAATAAACTAAACATGAACAGGAACTAGTAGTGGAGACAAGTTAGAGCAATGGACTACAATTGGAGTCACTCCATTTCGACAATAGACCTTATCCTTACGGCATTTTTATGTCTTCTTTATTGTGGTAGTGCATTTTCGGTACTAAGAGTAAAGTTCAACTTATTTACCATAATGCCACCGTGTTTTTTGTATCATTTAATTTATTTTTTTTGAATTTTTTAAGCCCTTAAATCTTACATCTAATGCACGAGATGCATTCTTATTTCTTAAATTAGATTGCATTCTCACTTGATCTTGATCGTACACATTTTGTTTTTGGGTGCCATTTTGAAAAAGTACTTAAATAATTTTAAATGAATGTGTAAATATGAATTAAAATCTGGAGTAATTAATTGGAAGACCTGATACCATAAGTTTGTATTCCATAAAAGTTAATCACTAGTTCATGTTAGTTCCATATTGTGTTGGCATTATTTTTTGACAAACGAATAGATTTACCTAGAATTATTTTAGATGTTTTATTTAGACTTAGAGACCTAGCATGTGAAGGAAGAGAAAGAAGAAAGAGCTTGAAGAGAGAATTCTAATCCTACTTGAATTCTAATCCTACATGGTTTGCTATTCTTGAAGAGGAAGGCATGGTTGAGACTCCTAAGCACACTCTAACAAGGTTAATATTCTCTATATATTATCTTCTCCCTCCCTTAGAGTTGTGTGGTGGAAAAATACGAAACTATTGAAGCAAATCCGAAAATAGGAAGAACAAGGTGCAGATTTTGACAGTGCAAAGTTTCTGGACAGCCTGCACAGATTTGATCATCGCCAAAGATCCGACCGTTGGATTTTGCTGAAATTTTCAGAGAGTTTTTCCAACACATAGGGCTTCAACGTGTTCAAATTTCACTTCAATCGGAGTTACGGATCTTCTGTTATCGAAGTTACAATCTACACATTGTGGCTGATTTTTTGCAGATTACACTGCCCTGGTTTTCTCGAAGGTTGGAGTACCAAATCTTGTCTGATCGTGCTGAAATTTTAGGAGGAGTCTAAGGACTCGTGGAGCTTCAATCTGAACGGTGGAGATCGAATTTCAACGGTTCAATCTCGAGTTATGAGCTTCTAAACAGCCTGCATATTTTTTGTAGATCAAGGAGAATCTTTATTTGAAGGTGTATTGGAATCTACGTCCTTGAAGACGATCTTTGAGAAGGTGTAACAAGCCGTGGAGATAGACGCAAACCGAGTTTGTCGTCAAGTCATTCGTAAGTAGGCAAATCAATACATTAGAAGGTTTTGTTGTGATTGATTGTGTAATTCTTACGGTGATTTAATGGAAGGGCTATTACACGGACGAGGGCCTTGCAGACGTAGGAGAATTTGCTCCGAACTGCGTGAACAATTCTGGTGTCTTACTTGCTGTTTTTACTTTATATTTTACGTGCGTGCTTGTGACAGAGAAGTGTTATAGCACATTGTCCGTCATCTGTTACTGGACAGTGCTGCAGCGTCTTCTCTGCAGCATAGTGGATTGATTTGTTTGCATAGCTCTTAATTGGTGATTTCCGCTGCGCCCCCACGAACTTACAGTTCACTACAAGAGCAGTGCACCTCGTCGTTTCCTTTTATTTTTAAGCAAAAGCACTTCAATTAATAGTTGCGTAGCTGCACAATCTTCTCATACTCTCAGACGCTATTGTCCTCAATATTTGAAGCTATAAAACATATAAGAGTGCTTCTTTGGTGCACCTTGGGTGCATACCATTTTTGTGGAACTTCACACATTAAACAACTTTTGTTTTAATTTTTTTAATTAAAAAAATAGATGCTTACATAAGTAATAAATAAATACTTATTTTACTTATATGTAGGTCCGTGATAGACCTTAGGTTTAGCATAGAATTTTCCAATGTAAAAAACTCAAAATTTCTACTCATATTCTATAATAAAATACGAATACAAATTGAATATTTGAATTTAATAACGAATCAAATACGAATTCTAATAATTATTCAAACAAAAAATGAATATGAATATGAATAATAGTCTCATTTTTCAAATACGAATAAAATTTTATAATATTCTATTCGATTCATTCGTTTTACAACCCTAGATGCACCCCCACTACTCAGAAGAGAAAAAAGAGATAGAACTCCTATTATGGTATTTCTCTATGTTTTAGTCTTATTTAGAGTAATTTTTTGAGAAAGAACATATTATGGAGTAAATTGATTATTTAATTATTTTTTTAGTGTAATTTTTTAATCACTTTTTTTTGTTTTGAATTAAATTAATATGAGGATTATTTTGCTGTAAAAATGAGGATTTAATTTTTTTTTTTTTGGAAATTAACAGTTTTGATGAAGAGATTATGCAAAATATTTCCTAAAATGCTTTCATTAAAATGATTTGAATGTTAGTTCGACATAAAATTTATTAATGTTTTTTTGTTTTATATTATCTTTAAAAAAATTCTGAGCTCCAGGAATTCAGGTATAACGCCCCCACTAATCCTTGATCTTTGCTCCACAACGGAGCCAAACCGAGAGTATTAAATTGAGACGTGAGGGAGTATAAGCCGAAAGTTAAAATAGAAGTTAAACTATAAGCTTGCGAACGAGCCAATTACAAGACAACAATACATGTTTTGCAACTTGTTAGATGAAGGAGAGTCATGGAAAGCAAGCATAAAGTAGAACTTAAACTAGAACGATTAATTCTAAATTAAGATTTTAAAAACAATTATCAAATAATCAATGAAAATGACAAATTAATTTAACTATAAACTAAGAGCTTAAATTTATGAAGGAGGAATACTTTAAATGTCTCTATTTTTATAAGTTACAAGTTAAAACTTTTTTTTTTTTTTGGGAGGGGGGGGGGGGGGGGGGGG